CCGTCAAACTACTGAGAAAAAACTGGATTACCAAAGAGCAATCGATTGTTTGTATGAAACCGGATACGAAATCCCTTTGAGGTCGAAATATTTTTATCGAAAGAACCTGCTGGACCAAACAATGGTGTCACCAAACCGTTCCCTCGTTCCCTTTATTGTTATTATACAGTTGAATTATTTGGTCCGCTCTATATTTTGTTCGCATCCGTCAATCTAAATGAGTCAGAATTACCATTTCGGTCGGAAACGAAGCTAGGCAATTCCATTAAGTAATAGCCCCAGTTTTCTCAAATCCCTATTCAGAGACACTCAATCTCCCAGGTCTGATTGTGTACTTAATAGCCTGTCTCTCCGTCGCCCTCCCTTCTCTCTTTCATTATCCGCGGCAATGCTAGTGTGTGATGATAGCAGCGGTACTAACATTTACTCAAATCGTAGCAAGCTGCTATTTTAATCGTGATTACCCATCATTTCACAGAACAATAAAATGTAACATGTCATATGGTAAATCATCCAAAGATGAGCTTCATTGATCCGATTCAATCCAGTTGATTCATTGATCGAGAGCGGTAACGCAGTTCACAAATGCAATTTCGTTTTCTCCCCGTCCCCTCCCAAAAAGATGACAGGGAAAGAAAGATGGGGAGTTAGCTGAACTTTGTTGATCCCGACCGATCTCATGCTAGACAGCTGAACTCACCACAAACGTGTTGCAATTCAGTCATTCCGCTGTTGGGTCTACAGCCACAGTTGGAATCTTTTACCTCTTCTTTTGAAGAGTTGTAAAGCAAACGAATTCTTTCCGGGATATAAGCAATATTCATTCGGAGCATCTCACATTCTTACCAAATCAAAAATTGGATATTTCCAACAGATATTCAACAGAATCGCAAGACAGAGCTGGTATTTTGTTCACTTACAAAGAATGTTCATCGTTATGAAGCTGCCTCTTCCCGATAAGGCAATGCTGTTGGAATCAACCCTAACAAACCTCTAAGAGCTTTAATAGACATTGATTCAAGGTTCACGACTGCAAGCAGCCGTCAACGTAGACCCCTCGGTCAATGTGCAATCTTTTATTGCATTCGGGCGAGAAAATGTCAGACCATACGCTGTGTCAGTTCGGATTCCTGATTCCCTCGGCGATTCGTTCGGCGTTCCTACGTATTTACTTAATTTAGTAAGCACAATTAGATGACATAGTTCGACACTTTAACGAAGAACAGAGGCATGTCCTAAGATCGTCTGAAGAACTCCGAATTTATAGTTATTCGCTCTGCTATTTGTCAGCATTGCGTCACAATTACCCCGTTTTGTGTGAGATTGTACACGAACCAATCAGACACGGATCACATCGAAGGCATTCACAGAGTCAAAATCCGGTCGTATCTTAGATACTCCTTACTATGTATGGATGTGAGCATCATGATTCGGCCCTCAATAAGTACTCACTTTACTACGTCTACCTCCTTGGAAAGGATTAGTCGGATCGAGACATGATCATGAAGTTCGTTGGGAGTTTGGTACGAGAGAGGTCCCCAGAGTCAGTCGGCGTGTTTTTATTTGAGGGCGCACCTCTAGCCTTGGCACAACCAATTGCGAACTGCAAGGCAGCAGGAAGTAATCCACCGCCTCTGATTTGAGGGGGTCAGTGGATTTAGATTCTAAAAGGCCAGTCACATCGACCTTTGTCATGACACCGTCATTGGGCTTATGTGGCTCTAAAACAGGAACCAAGTGACCAGCATGAAACCCACCACACCCTGGTAGTTCCACTGCCCTTCAATAAGTCGGTTAATAGTACAGCAGTCTTTTTACTGTTTGCAACAACAGTCTGTCGCATCGACTGCATATCGAATTGAAAATCTAGCCAAATAGATGCATAAAAGTTGGACATCGATGTGAACCAAAAAGGCCACGCGAAATGATTTCTCCTAGATGTTTTTCACTCAACTCAGTGCTGCTGAATCAAAAATTCAAGATTTTATTTGAGCGGGTAACCCTAAATCTGATGTTTCCCAAAAAGCGAATTGGATTTCACCTCATTTCATTGCAAAAAATGAAAATTATTTCATTACCCATTTTGTTTCTTCTGATGCTGCTGCTGTTAGGTATATAGCACAGTTACCAGGGCCGAATCGGACACGACAGGGAGATAACGCGTGTACGTACTCTGCCCGGGACCAGGGGGTGGGGGAACACGGGATCACGTCTTTCGTTGAAGAGACACCAGCAACTGTTTCGACCTTTTTAGGTCTAGTCAGCAGTGCGAATCCAGCGACCCAGCTGGGGATCGAACCCGGGGCCTTATGGGTAGAACGCAATCATGATACTCACTCTGCCACCGTGCTTCGTAGCTTTTCAGTTCACGTTTTGTTTGCCGTATACACGAAGAATTTCCCTTTTAAAATTGAATCAAATCCTCCATTACTCACATGAATCACTATTCCGTTTGTGGTTTTACGATGATGAGACAATGCATGAGAGATTACGTTGATTTTCCCGGCCTCATAACTTCTGATAGGCTTATTAACATTTAAAACCTATTAAGTGAAATCTTCCACTGATATTCTCTGAATATGCAATTGAGAATATGTTTGATTTTGTTCGAAAAGCATGCATAAAATTGAAGCTTTTCACATTGGACAGCAGGGGTTCCTCTCTTAGAAAGAGAATCGCGTTCTGGGTAGTATAGTTCATGCTGTTTTCACCTTGACCTAACTGTCCAGCCGAGTTATGTTTCACTATTTGGGTCAGCCGTCAAAGTCTGAACAGAAAGTCCACGAAATCCTGTTGCCTGTCTGCTTACTCCCCAGGCTCCTCCAATAGTTCCGTCCCACTCTATCCGATAAGGTCATTCATCCGTGATCAATGCATAAGTTGTTTTAGATGGGCAAAATTTTCGCTTGCTAACCTACAAGCCATGTGATCAAGTTTCCACTATGATGCGTAAGCATCAGATTTTCACTTGTAGTTAGGCTACATTTGACTGATTGTTTGCAACGGTTTTTCATTTCAGAGAGGGAGTGATTGGAGTATTCGTTCTCGTACCTTCCAAATGACGTAACTGTTTTTTTTTAAATTCACTTGTATTAATCATTTCGTCATCTCAGAATCATCCCGAGGATCAAACAAGTAATATGCTTGCTCAGAAATGTCATATAAGATGAGGGGACTGATTGATTGTGAACGACGCGTTTTCAGTCAAACGGGACAAAGTGAATACAAGGTGATCCCCAACTTACCTCTTTCTTTTAGTCTCCGGTAACCACGCGGTGTCAAATGTGGTCATCGGTCGGGATACGCCTGGTGCAGTGGAACCAAATGCTGGATTCGGATTGACGAATGGGGGTTCTGTGTGGAACATGAAGGAATTCGTGGGGGTTGGAGTGATCTGAGTTGCTGGATTAGGCACGGGAGTTTCCGGAGTGAAGGGTATCGTCGATTGTGGATCCGAATTGTTGAACGCGGTAAATCTGGCAGTGGCATTGTTGGTGGCCTGCTGAAAAACAAAATTGGTCGTGCAAATGCATAACAATAATAGATAGATAAAATGGACGCCTACGGTGACCGTGCGTGGAGATCCAATGTGGTCAAATGAGCAATAGGTTCCGTCTACACGTTTTGATCAGTGGGAAAAATGAAACAACTGCAGAAACAACACAGAGTAGACGTCTGATAGGAGAATAACCGGCAAAAAGAATCTATAACATAATATGCAGCATGTCGAACGATCATGCGCAATACATTTCAGCATATAATCTTATTTTTAGTAAAAGGACAAAATAATGATGGCTTGTGGTGTTGCAACGTCTGGGCAAATTTCAGACATTTGGATAACTCCATTCATTAGTTGACAGTTTAAAGGATGCCTGGCCAATGTCAGACAACTGTACACCATTGATCACCCTATTCACTGCTTCAATTTGAAGAAAGAATTAATTGAATTAGCCCCAAAAGCTCAAGAATGATATCACTCTGATTCAACGTCATTCAGATTTCATCTTTAAGCCCAATCCTGATTGGCCTCGTCAACCATTGATGCAAAATTTTATCCCTCCCCTCGCTGAAAAGAAAACCAGAGCCACTCCAAAAGTGATGGTCTTTGTATAATCGTCTTTCCGACGAACGTGTTGTTGCTGATACTTACCGGGACATCGAGAATCACGGGAAATTAGAGACCGTATCGCTGTCACAGTTCGTGAGATAGCACCTCAATCTCTAAAACCTCACACTCAGTCTGATCATTATAATAACCCTTACAACGCCTTTCAGATGTTGTCTTCTCCAATACTCTGCTAGTTGTCGGCTTGGCGGAAACGGGTCGAGGTTGACTGGTTGCAAATAAAAATCCCTACAAAATCAGGTGTCATGTGGCACAGAGGGAAACGGAGGGAAATCCACTCGGACACATTTTAACGGAAACGCCCGTTG